CCCTTATTTTTGAGGCTGCTGGTCCCTTATTTTCAAATCTGTAAGTTGACAGCTATGGGTTTAGGATCCAGCCTAAGTCGTCCCCCCCCCCCAGAACACCCCTTTTGGGGGACTCACACCTTTCACAGCTCAGCCAGCTTTCACTCAGCTGACTGAGTTCCAACTGAGCCAGGAAGTGTAAGTTACACCAAGGTATCCTTTGGGTAAAACTTAGTTGGAGACAACCTCTCAGATGCCACACTCACTGTACCTACAGAGTACTGTAGGGATCATGATTTGCTTAATTCCATTTAATGTAGGCAACTTTCTTTTCTCTTCAATAGCAGTGCATATTTTTCTCCTCCATATAAAAATTAATTTACGGAGTTTACTTACATTTGCAATTTATTATAATTAGCAGAACGTTATTTTCTTCTCTCCCTAATTTTGCCAGCCTCCCTGATTTTCATGAAATCACACAGACTCATTAATCATAAAGTAATTCACCCTTCAGTAACATACTTTCGTTTTGTGCAAATCACCCCTCACTCCTTCTCAGACAGATTAGCTAAAATGTGGGACATACATGAAACAAGTAGTTTCTTCCTTAAACTTTAGTTGGAAATTAGGAGCATCCTTAGCTCTATCCATCATGTTAATAGTTTTTGTCATAAAATGATGAAGTGAATTTGTGCCCCCATGAAAATGGCTCTGGTTACGTAGAATTCCTCCATCTGGCCCATTCAATCTCTGTTCACAGCTGGAGTTTCTTGTTATGCCAATAGACTTCAGGGATCCAGTTTTTCACTTGATACTGTTATCAACACTTCCTGCCCTTCTGGTTAGCAGCATTTCTGCAAGAGAACAGTGAAATAGAACCTAGCAAAGAAAGGATTCAAATGCTATTGTTTCAAATTAACCAAGACACAGTATTTTGGCAAGGGAGGAGGATGAGGAGAAAGCCAGACCTCCATGATTCTACCCATGTGATTGGGATACAGTGGTACCTTGGGTTACATACGCTTCAGGTTACCTAAGCTTCAGGTTACAGACTCTGCTAACCCAGAAATATTACCTCGGGTTAAGAACTTTGCTTCAGGATGAGAACAGAAATGGTGCTCCGGCGGTGTGGCGGCAGTGGAAGGCCCCATTAGCTAAAGTGGTGCTTCAGGTTAAGAACAGTTTCAGGTTAAGAACGGACCTCTGGAACGAATTAAGTACTTAACCCGAGGTACCACTCAGGTACAGTGGTGCCTCGCAAGACGAAATTAATCCGTTCCGCGAGTCTCTTCGTCTTGCGGTTTTTTCGTCTTGTGAAGCACGGCTATTAGCGGCTTAGTGGCTTAGCGGCTATTAACGGCTTAGCGGCTTAGCGGCTATTAACAGCTTAGCGGCTTTAAGAAAAAGGAAACAAACTCGCAAGAACTCGCAAGACGTTTCATCTTGCGAAGCAAGCCCATAGGGAAATTCGTCTTGCGGAACGACTCAAAAAACGGAAAACTATTTCGTCTAGCGAGTTTTTCGTCTTGCGAGTTTTTCGTCTTGCGAGGCATTCGTCTTGCGGGGCACCACTGTACTTCTGTTGATGCAACCTAGAAGAGCATTGACTTTTTTGCTGCTGCATCACACTGTTGAATTGTGGGAGCAGGTGGCAGTGTGGTCTAAACCACTGAGCCTCTTGGGCTTGCCGATCAGAAGATTGGCAGTTCTAATCTATGTGACAGGTTGAGCTGCTCTGTCTCAGCTCCTGCCAACCTAGCAGTTTGAAAGGACGCCAGTGCAAGTAGATAAGTAGATACTGCTATTGTGGGAAGTAAACAGTGTTTCTGGGTGCTCTGGCACTCATCACAGTGTCCCATTGCACCAGAAGCAGCTTAGTCATGCTGGCCACATGACCCAGAAATCTGTCTGCGAACAAACGCCAGTTCCCTTGGCCTGAAGCGAGATGAGCACCACAACCCATAGTCAAGTTTGACTGGACTTAACCGTCCAGGGGTACCCTTTTTTACCTTTACAATTGACTCATGTTAAGCTTGTGGTCTACTAAGTCCCTAGATCCTTTTTACAGTGGTACCTTGGGTTACATACGCTTTAGGTTACAGACTTCGCTAACCCAGAAATAGTACCTCGGGTTAAGAACTTTGCTTCAGGATGAGAACAGAAATCACGCAGCAGCGGGAGGCCCCATTAGCTAAAGTGGTGCTTCAGGTTAAGAACAGTTTCAGGTTAAGAACGGATCTCTGGAACGAATTAAGTACATAACCAGAGGTACCACTGTAGATGTACTACTGGCAAGCCAGGTGTCCCCCATCATCATCATCATCATCATCATCATCATCATCATAATTTATTATTTATACCCCGCCCATCTGGCTGGGTTTCCCCAGCCACTCTGGGTGACTTCCAACAAAATATTAAAAATACAAGAAAACATCAAACATTAAAAACTTCTCTAAACAGGGCTGCCTTCAGATGTCTTCTAAAAGTCAGATCGTTGTTTATTTCCTTGACATCTGGTGGGAGAGCATTCCACAGGGTAGGCGCCACAACCAAGAAGGCCCTCTGCCTGGTTGCCTGTAACCTCACTTCTCGCAGTGAGGGAACTGCCAGAAGGCCCTCAGAGCTTGACCTCAGTGTCCAGGCTGAACGATAGGGGTGGAGACGCTCCTTCAGGTATACTGGGCAGAGGCCGTTTAGGGCTTTAAAGGTAAGGTCAGCACCAACAGTTTGAACTGTGTTTGGAAACATACTGGTTGTTCCTACCTAAGTGCAGAAACCTGCATATGTCCCTATAGAAATTCATTTTGTTAGTTTGGACCTGGTTCTCTAGTCTGTTAAGGTCATCTTGCAACCTCATTCTGTCTTCTGTGGCATTATTATGTGATAGAAGTCACATTATTATCCAGCTGCTCCATTCAGCATCCTGGCAACCAACTTCCCTGCCCCGTTCTCTTAGACTTTTCACATGCAACAGTATGACAAAAGGCAGAACTAATTAAAATAATTAAAATAGCTTGGGTGATATTTCTGCATTCAACATTAGAGAACACCACTATGTTCAGGAGCAAGTTGCTGTGTTAGGATAATTAGTTGGTCCTTTAGTGTGTAAAATAAGATCTCTCCCAGACAGAAGATAGGGCTCCAAACAGTGAACAATTTAAGGTATGCTTTGCTTTGCTTTTTTACTTTATGGGCTTCCAATGTATAATTTCAAAGAAATGAAAGCTTATTTTCTCAGTGGAATGTATCTGTATTAATAAATTTGTATACTGCTTTGCAAAAAATAAAATGATCTCCCAGACAATATATATACAACTACAAACGCAGTTGTCCCTGCATTGGTAACCTCATGGTTGGTTAACTGCAGTGTCCTCTTGAGGTTGGTCCTGAGGCTGCAGCTGATGAATGCAGCAGCTAGGTTGTTTGTGGGGGTGTAGCACCAGCATATAACACCCTGTTTGCAAGATTAGAATTGGCTGCCCATATGCTACTGGTACTGACATATAAGGCCCTATACAGCTCAGGACCAGATTACATGAGAGACCAGGGTCAGAGACCAGAGGACAAGATTACCTTAGGCACCCAGTAGATCGCTGCTGTCTGTGGGAGGCTCTCCTGCAAGTTGCAAAGATCTCAGAAACCCTCTCCTCAGTAACTCACAGCAAGGCTTTTAGTGTAGCTGCCCGTGTTCTGTGGCATAACAATTCTGTTGAGATACAATAGGCACTTTCCCCTGCACTTTCTGGAAACAATTGAAGGCATTTTTATCCTAACAGGCTCTCACAGCTGGAAAAAATGGTATTTACCATGAGCACCTACTTTTTTGGTTTTAGTCAAGTTTCAAATCCACATGTTGTTTCTGTGTTATTAATTATCTTTGTTTAAAGGTAAAGGGACCCCTGACCATTAGGTCCAGTCGTGGCCGACTCTGCGGTTGCGGCACTCATCTCGCTTTATTGGCCGAGGGAGCCGGCGTACAGCTTCTGGGTCATGTGGCCAGCTTCTGGCGAACCAGAGCAGTGCACAGAAATGCCGTTTACCTTCCCACTGGAACGGTACCTATTTATCTACTTGCACTTTGACGTGCTTTTGAACTGCTAGGTTGGCAGGAGCAGGGACCGAGCAACGGGAGCTCACTCTGTCACGGGGATTCGAACCACCAACCTTCTGATTGGCAAGTCCTAGGCTCTGTGGTTTAACCCACAGCGCCACCCGCGTCCCTATCTTTGTTTAGATGGTGATAAATAAATGAATGTGAGGACTTTAACCGCATATATGTTGTGCCTGAGTAGCATAAGTGATATTTGTGCTCAGCAAGGTTTGGATTCAGCTCTGATCTGGATTTCCTTTGTGTGTTTTTCCTATCCTTATATAATTCTCTGTTCAATGCAAGTGGTATTGGTTTTGGACTGGGTGGGGTGGCATATACTGTATATACATGGCATGATGGAGTCTCAAACAGAGATGTGCTCTCCCCAGCCCACATTCCCCGCATGTTTGCACTCCTGTCTCAGTGGCATCTACATTGGTTTGATCATCTCCAATGGAAGATGGCAGGATCCCCAGAGACATGCTCTTCAGGAGCTGGCTTCAGACACTAATCCCACTGACAGACCAACTCTGCATTAAACAGATGTCTGCAAATGAAGGCTAGCAACATTAACTCTGCTGCGTGGGAATCCCTTGCAGACAACCACAGTGCCTGGAGACAGTCAGGTCATATATCCACACAGGAGGAATGACCACTAGGAGGATCACAGAGAGAAGAAGCACCACGGGGCCTCTATAGCAGCATAACTGGGCACCTTCATCTGCCCCAGCTGCAACAAAACATGTTCTTCTACAGTCACAGCAAGCGCTATAAGTCTCCAGTGGTCTGACTTCATAACAGTATTATAACAGTGATTTTAGGGCCACATACCATTTATAGGATGCTAAGGGCAAAAACAAGGCATGCATAGATTTCAGGAGTGGAATTTTGCAATGAATATTGACTTTGAAATATCCATCCTTTGAATCCATTATCGACTTGAAGTGCTGTCCAGTTCATTTTGCTGCTCCTTATATTTTTTACGACAGTGATGAGGACAGAGCAAATCATTTTCCATCATGCAGCACAAGAAGGTGTCAACGGCATCCTCTTGAAATGTAGGTGCCTTAATGATTTTGCAATAGCCTTGTATATCTGAAGATAAATAGGATAGAAGCGAAAACGCAGGGCAATTCCACAGTTTTAAAGAAAATCATATTGCAAGCTACAATCGCTTTTATTTTTTTTCCCCTTTGCCATTTTCTGGAAAGAAACATGCCAAATTTGTTCTCAAAGCTCCTTTGGGTTCCTTAGCATGAGTTGAAATGAGTTTCTACTCCTTTTTTTTTGGTGGGGGGAATGGATGCAAGAAATAAAACCCTCTTTCATAGAGCACCACACTTCTAATTATACCAGTGTTGAGACTTTCTTGCATAGCCACTAATTAAAAATATCCTGTGCCAACTATTCTTGGCACACCTCAAGTTGACAGGCATATATTTCTCTCCATTTATGCTGTCATGGACTTAGAAGCTTGCTGAGGCAGGCTATCATACAACTAAGCTTCATGCAGGCCAGTGCTAAAATTGTAACCTTTACCTACTAAAATACTGGTTGTGTTTTCTTTCATCTGGCAGGTCTGGGCAGCATCGTTGCAAACACTTATGAAGCTTACACTTATGAAAAACTTATGAAGCTTATGAGAGCCAGTGTAGTGTAGTGGTTAAGAGCGGTAGTCTTGTAATCTGGGGAACCGGGCTCGCGTCTCTGCTCCTCCACATGCAGCTGCTGGGTGACCTTGGGCTAGTCACACTTCTTTGAAGTCTCTCAGCCCCACTCACCTCACAGAGTGTTTGTTGTGGGGGAGGAAGGGAAAGGAGAATGTTAGCCGCTTTGAGACTCCTTAAAGGGAGTGAAAGGCGGGATATCAAATCCAAACTCTTCTTCTTCTTCTTCTTCTTCTTCTTCTTCTTCTTCTTCTTCTTCTTCTTCCAAATGGTGATAGATATAAACCAGGGGGTGGGGTACCATTTATTTTCCCAGATCTCCAAACCTTGAAATATGAGCTTTTGTTGTGCTATTATGTAGTGTCTTATACAGTGGTACCTCAGGTTAAGTACTTAATTCATTCCGGAGGTCTGTACTTAACCTGAAACTGTTCTTAACCTGAAGCACCACTTTAGCTAATGGGGCCTCCCACTGCTGCCGCGCCGCCGGAGCCCGATTTCTGTTCTCATCCTGAAGCAAAGTTCTTAACCTGAAGCACTATTTCTGGGTTAGCGGAGTCTGTAACCTGAAGCATATGTAACCTGAAGTGTATGTAACCTGAGGTATCACTGTATTGACAACTGGGTCGTGTTGCCTTTGATATTTTGTTTGTTTCAAAACATGGAGGTATGATGTATTTTTTTGATGAATGAATGCAAATAGCAACATCATGTTATGACTCCATTTGGACTAAAGATGAACTCAGCAATGGAAAATCCTACTATGGTTTCCTTATGCCCAACTTGTTTCCCATCCCCTATAGTTATAATCTGTGGGTTGCCATCAGATTTTATTACGCTCCAAATTTGATTTTAAGTTGTATTTTAATCGATTGTTTGATTTATGTTTTTAATGTCTTTGATGTTAGCCGCCCTGATGCCTGGTCCTGGTTGGGGAGGGCGGGGTATAAATAAAATTCATTATTATTATTATTATTATTATTATTACTTCAAACAAACTTGACTGTGGCAGGAGATCAGATAAATCATTGGGAAACCTTGTGTATCGTGCTATGACTGGATTTAATAGAGACATTTCCCTTGACGTTTCCAACCTCAATTTTACTTACAGAACCCTAATTAGAGGTATGTAATTGAAAACTGAAAATAGAGAGCGAAAAATAAAATATGCAATAGAAACTGGAAAGATTCTTCTGTTGACAAAGCCTGCTAAATAACAGGCATGTCAAAGGGTGAAAAAAGGTAATTTATCTCAGTTGCTTCAAATTATTGTTTATTATCCAAGCTATATTTGTCATGTTAACAAAGAGAAGAAAGCCAATGAAGGAGCCTGTTACGTTTCCCGCCTTCCCTGTGGAATGCTGTATCTAATTTCTGAATTTTATTCGATAATATAATGAAAACTAGGTGCTGGGACTTCAACCTCAGCTCATAATTAGTAATTTTATTATATTAAAATGTCAGTTAAAACAACGGCAGCAGCCAGACATTATGTGTTATAGAAAGGGATACAGACATCATTAGTTTATAAGAAGGCATGAATATGCTGTGTGCATATTTAAACAGCAGAAATGCAAAATGCTTTGAGATCATGATTACTTTGTTTTGTGTGGTATGAGGCCATTTCCCTTTATTTTTAATAGGACTTTTCTGTTAAAAGATCAAAATCCATTGTCAACACACAGCACAAACAGCTAGCTGTGCAACTACTTCCTTTAAGCACCCTCATGTTATTTTATCCATGTTTTATGAATCTCACAAACAACTCCCATGCTAGATACTGAAGAAACAATGAAAGGTAGACCTTAACATGTAAATAATCGGCAATCTCTAACTACTGCAGGTCAGGCTACATCTGTTGTTTTGATCTTTTACATGGCTTTGTGTGTATTTTATGCATTGTGACTTGCTCTTATTTTTATTCATGATAGTTTAGTAATTATCTATTACAACTGATAAGGGTGAATTTCTGTTTAGCTCTTATTTGCTGATAGATAATTTTATTGTGTACTATTATATTCGAATTGATTATTGAATAATAGTTTATTTAATATGGGTGATTTTAAAGTTATGTTTTTTTTATTTTGACTTTTCTGTATAGGATCAGATTGTTATAAGGTGTGTGAGATCTTTGTTGTATATTTGGGTTTTTCTTCAGCTTGTAAACTGCCTTACGTATAGTAAAATCTGGAGATGTTGGACCACAATGCCTATCCTCCCTGACAATTTGCCATGCTGGCTGGGACTGATGAGGATTGGAGACCAACAATATCTGCAGGGCATCACATTGGCTACTCATAATAAGTTACCTCTGAAATCTGACAGAATATTAGAAGTGCTTTCTGATATGACACAAGTACAGTGGTACCTCGGGTTAAGAACTTCATTCGTTCCGGAGGTCCATTCTTAACCTGAAACTGTTCTTAACCTGAGGTACCACTTTAGCTAATGGGGCCTCCCACTGCCACCACGCCGCTGCCACGCAATCTCTGTTCTCATCCTGAAGCAAAGTTCTTAATCCGAGGTTAGCGGAGTCTGTAATCTGAAGTGTCTGTAACCTGAAGCGTCTGTAACCCAAGGTACCACTGTAACTGCTAAACTAGGGGACCTACGTGGTCTTAAGGGCATCTTTGGACCATGTCCAAAGATCTTGGGAGGATGTTGAAAGCTCATTAAAATGATACTGCAAACTACTTTTTTATGGGAAAGTGGTTCCTTCGTGGAACCAGAATGAAAAAACAGAGACATGGAGTTGATAATGCTCGGGGAAATTGATGGATTTCCCTCACCCTACCTTACTATTGAAAGAGAAAGCAGCAGATGGTAACTTCTCAGAGACTATGTTCATTCCTTCAGGGGGGAATGAAATGTTGCAACATTTAACTGTTGCACTGGAGCAGATAATTAGGCAATCAGAATTATTAGAAGCTGACAAAAGGACAAGAATTCAATGAACTTTCTCCTTTTGCTTTGTTATGATGGCAGCTGTGATGATTTTAAGTAGTGAACATCATGCCCAATCAGTCCAGCAGCCTTAATGAGTTTGGAAATTTCTGTTTAGAATCCTTTCAATGAGTGCAATGTTCACTTTATGATCTGAAGGAAGGCTCAGGGTTGCGTTCAAAAAACTGTTACTCAGACACATTGAAATCAATGGAACCAAGTTAGCCATAGCCCTTAATCACACAGAGTAACGAAGGATAACAACAGGAAGATTTAAAGAAGGAACTATTGGAAACTCAAGGCAGTAGAAACATAAGATGATTGGAACCCCACTGAACTTGAAGCATGGGAAGCCTCAACAAAAAATTATAATTTGGCAGAATATTTAGATTATATGATGTGTATTTGTATAATTTGGAATACTTAATGTGATTTGATTGGATTGTTAAAATGGAAAATTTAATAAAAAATATTTTAAAAATAATAATAATTACCCAGAGTAACAGTTAGTTGACTTCAACCTTAACATACACACACACACTCACACATACACACACACACACATTAACATGAGAAATCAGTTGAAATATGTGATTCAGAAAGCTGGGCTGAAGAACAAAGAAAAATTGAGGCCAATAAGCTCAAGAACACTGATTAAGAAATTGGTTATTAGATTTCCCATCACATTTCAAACATCTGTGTTCTTCCTGGGGAGAAATTGTTCAACAGTGAAGCAGTCATAAAGTAACTGCTCTCTTCAGAATACTCAATGCAACAATTCCCTCCAGGGAAGAAGAAAATAGATTTCAGAAACATCTCAAGAGATCTGAGAGCCATTTGGTTAATGCATCTTCTCGCACCTATTGGCTTTGTTCTTCTGCTGTGTGATCAGGGTGGCCATAGGTTCTACTTCACTGAGGATAATCCATTATTATTATTATTATTATTATTATTATTATTATTATTATTATTATCACCTTCTGCACAATCATATCAAGGTGATGTACAAAAAAGCAGCTAACACATTTAAAATTAAAATAAAACAATACAAAATAGGCACTTTGGGCCAATTTATTCAGGTGGGGAAACCTGCCAGAACAAAAAATGTATTTGGTTGTTTCCAGAAAATGCAGACACTGTGTTGCCTGCCTGTTGTATCTCAGCAGGAATGCTACCCCACAGAGAAGGGCAGCCACACTAAAAGTCCTCCTGTGAGTTATTGCAAAGCGGGCTTCTGATTTTTGGAACTTGCAGGATAAACTCTTCTGCAGACTGGAGTGATCTACTGGGTGTGTATTAGGGGTAAGGCTGCCTCTCACGTAACCTGGTCCTGGGCTGCACAGGGCCTAACATGTTAGTACCACCACTTTGAACTTGGCTCAGTAGCAGATTAAGAGCCAGTGCAAATTTCTGGCCTGTACAAAGGGCCAGGGCCAACCACCCATAAGGCAAGGTGATGAAACCACCTCAGGCAGCAGGAACCAT